AACCTTTGCCTTTACCTTTAATTAGAAACTAATGCTTGCGCCAATCACTTTGAATAAAACATGCCACTAGCACACCTACCCAGAATTCAGAAAGTTGCCAGCTATACCTAGCTTGAATTTATTTTAGGTTATTTTAATTACAAATCCTAAAGGATAGGAAGCTTCGTCGGTTGCTGAGGAAAGCAAGAATCTTCGCATGGGGCTTATTTCCATCTCGGTCCTTCATAAAGCCTCCTGAGGCATCCTTAAGAAATAAATATGGTGGGCGGATGCATTCCGGGACTTGGGTTGGAAGCAAGCCCACCTGGTGGCTGAACTCACTAAAGGAGCCAATTTGTGAGAGGCAATCAACTAAACTGCAAATCTGGGTTTTCTAAGAACTCCAGAATGTTCCTGCAGGTTTTATGTGTGGAACAGATTCGTCCCTCTGTTCCATAGATGATCTAGCAATGTTCTGAAAGTGAAATCTTCCAAATGGAAGACCTTATTGGTCACACTACAGGTGTTTTTTAAAAAAAATATTACCATATTTTTCGGAGTATAAGACACACATTTTTCCCTCAGAAAGGACGGTGAAAATCTGGGTGCATCTTATACACTGAATACAGCATTTCTGGCCTACCAAAACCCCACCCCCTTTGCAAATATGGTCGTGTATAGCCTTTAGGAGGCTTATAGAGTGCTCCTGGGGGACTAGGGAGGGCAAAATGAGCAAAAAACAGGCTGTTTTTGCCCCCCTCCCAGCCTGCAGGAGCACTCAACAAGTCTCCCAAAGCTCTGCATGCCCCCCCTTTTTTTTTTGCAAAACAACGAGGCATGCAGAGGATTTGGGAGGTCTGCAGAGTGCAAGCACTTTTTTAAAAAATTTACCTCTTCAAAATCATGGTGCATCTTATACTCCGGTGCATCTTATAGTCTGAAAAATGCAGTAACTGCTTCATTTCAGAAGGGCAGGGGAGTATGGGGGCCATGCACGCATACACAGGGTGCAGGGCATATTGCATTGTGGGTGTGGTCCCTCGCACACCCTGTCATACACATGCCGTGATTTTGGCACGCGAGGACAAAAAGGTTAGCCATCACTCTAAACCAGGAGTGTCAGACTCGATTTCATTGAGGGCCACATCAGTGTTGTGTTTGATCTCTGGGGGGGGGGGCATGGCCAGGGTGACATGGCCAGCTTGACATCACTCATGTCGGGAGATGCCTGTGGGGGACCGAGCGCTGTGCCAGCGAAAATGGGCTCCCGATCTCCAGGAAAGCCCCATGGGGCCACCCTATAAACAGCGAATGATCGGCCTGCGGTGCCTCTGCAAGCAAAGAGAGAGCTGCACGTTGCTTCCCCCTCCCAGCTCTGTTTTTGGCTGTGACGCCCTCTTGCAGTCCTCCGCTCTGTTTTCCATTTTGTTCACGGCTCTCCCGAGCTCTGTTGTCGCTGGCAGCGGCACCTCAGGCCGATCCTGTTTCCAGGGCAGCCCTGTGGGCCAGATCTAAGCACTCTATGAGCCAGATCTGGTCTGTGGGTCTTGAGTTTATCACCCCTGCTCTAA